TGGCAACTTTCAGCTTTGTGGATTTCAACTCCCAGAATTCCCCAGCCAGTGGAGTTGAAGTCCACTCATCTTAAAGTGGCCAAGTTTGGACAACACTGGTTTAGAGCAATCTTTCTCAACCTTGGCAACTTTCAGCTTTGTGGATTTCAACTCCCAGAATTCCCCAGCCAGTGGAGTTGAAGTCCACTCATCTTAAAGTGGCCAAGTTTGGACAACACTGGTTTAGAGCAATCTTTCTCAACCTTGGCAACTTTCAGCTTTGTGGATTTCAACTCCCAGAATTCCCCAGCCAGTGGAGTTGAAGTCCACTCATCTTAAAGTGGCCAAGTTTGGACAACACTGCTCTAAACAATATAGCCAGTGTCTAGGAAGTCATCCTCTTATGAATTCTGAATTACAATTGCAACAGTGCCCCACAGTGTGAAATCATGTCCTCCCTGTTTGGTGAGCAGTTTAAAATTGTGGGCCATTTGCCTGAAGGAAATCTGGATTCTATTATAGCTTACATCTGTTCAATGTATATCAACATTCATTTGTTTGCTACTTTTCTACACAGAGTTGACCTGTCAATGTGTCAGCTTTGTTGGGGATGTCACAAAGATTAAAGAAAGAGTAGAAGGTTAACCATATGAGCTTTACTTGATTAATTAAATTTGCATAAATCTACATGTCCTGCATTGCTTCCAGTATGTAGAATGCTTGCTGTTGGAAGTTGTGTTTGGCTCCACTCTTTCAATGTTAGGAAATCTATAATAATGCATCTCTTTTGCCAGGCTTTTAATTGTTAGGTGGTTTTGGTATTGTATTGTATTTTTAAATTTCTGTATTCTGTTTTTGGTTTGAAATTTTATTAGCTACCCTCGAGCTCTTGCCAGAGTAGGAAGGTGGATATAAATTAAAGAAATAATAAATAATATGGTTAAACCCAACAATTCCTAGCTATTCATAAGTTAGTTCCAGAATTTCCATGAGGTCCCTTGCTTATTCCACTTACAGAATGGCAGCTCTCTACTTCCTCAGAGTAGATGATAGAACAGTATTTCTCAACCTTGGCAGCTTGAAGATGTGTGGACTTCAACTCCCAGAATTCTCCCGCCCAGCCTGCCCTGTGGGGGATTTTTGGAGTTGGGGGTCCCACACCTTCCAGCCGCCAAGGGTGTGGTATACTGTT